AGCATGGGGAGTGCAACTTTCTGTGAGAGGAAGCGCTCTCCAGACTGAACCCTTGCAGCTCATTTCTGATAAGAGGCGAGCAAAGGCAGAATTAGTGTGTTGAGATCATTTCCTGAATTTTTAGAAATTTGTTACTTCAATTTGAATGATTTTAAAATAAATCTTCTCTAGACCTCTACTCTTGCATTCCACCTCAGTGTGGTGGTAGCTCTGAACAGGGTTTTACCCTCAGCTATGCTGCTTTTAAATTTCACTTTTTATTAACAAAGCTAATGTGAAAGCAAAGTGTTTCATGTTGCCAATTTAATTTCTTTAATTAAAAGTGAAAGTTATAAGCTGGTACAGCCGTGGGTGAAGTTCTAATGTCATCAATGGGGAAAAATAGGTTTCAAATTGAAACTGTTGGCACAGCAGTGACTCTCAATAGTACAGCACCTGCAGTTGTAACTCTTAGCTTTATTTAATGAAAAAAGATGAATTTAAAGCATTAAAGACTCTCAGTATACGTATTGGAAAGAGGGAGTAGAGCTGAAAGTGCCTTAACTGTGGTCAGGTGTTGCTAAAAGCAGGAGACGAGCACATGCCCAGGAGAAGAGACCCTGAGAGCTTTTAAAACAGGTTTTACGAGATGAAGACTTTAAAATTATTCTAGTAGAAAACTTTTAGTGTTAGTGAGACAAAATGTAACAACAGTGCATCTTTGATGTTACACATTACAACAAAACACTGAATAATGATCGTGGTTACATACATTACAAGGGCAGTTTGTCTGTCTGTCTGCATAGATGGGCGCAGTATCCTCCAGTTCTAAAAACAATTATCGTACCTGTTAAAGTACTCAACTAAAATTATAAATATCCTTATCTTTTTAAAAATACTTCTGCTTTCTAATTTAAGACAACTCTATGAAATACAAAATCCATCTCTTGAAAATGCAAGGTTATGAGTGTAATTGGATGTCAGCTTTTGTGGCGTTCTTACACAACTATAGTAAGGAAAAAGCTGAGGTTTGGAACATTAGGGAGTTTGGAAACATGTAAATGAAACCCCTTGTTTCTAGGGTATTTTGAATACATATCTGAAACTTATGCTGCTTTTCATACCTTCAAAGTCTGATGTTTCCATAGAGCTAATGTGATCTATGCAGTTTTCAGACAAATAAGATAACAAGTTCTCTAACATAAAGCACTTTAATTTTTAACAATTAAAATATCAGGCTGTCTGGTCTAATAAAAGTAGTTTTTGTTTTGAAGAAATGTTAGCAAACCTAGTTTGGTGAATATATTCTCAACTTTAGTAGCAGACAACATTTAATGTCTTTAAAAGTAAAGATCAGTTGTAGGTTTCTCTAAAATTACTGTGGGAAGCTAGCTTACTTCTAAAGAGGTTTATTCGCTAACATGAAAAATTTTATTGCATAAACTTGCTTGCTTCATTTACAGATAGAGATATGAAGAATAGCAGGGGGAAGAGTTGTGATGAATTCCTTGGAAGTGTTCGAGGAGGGGACTTTGACTGTTGGGTGTTTCTGAAGCATTAGAGGAAGCAGACATTGGTGCACTAAAAGATTTTGGAAAAAATGTCTGTTTGTCAAAGAACGGTGAGATGTGCAGGTTAAGATTTGGAGGTTAGAGGGGAAGGAGAAAGGGTAACCAAGAATGTGGCGTGATTGAAGAAAGAGTTGAAACTACCCTAAAAAAAGGAATGATTAGCCAGTAGCTTGACAAAAGTCAGTATAAAATAATAAAATAGTTGATGAAAAAAAATGGGGAGATACAGACAAGCATTACAAGAGCTGAGCAGCAGCAAAATTGCTCAAACCCTTCAAAGGAAGGAGATGCTTACATGTGGAATGGAGTGTAAAGAGAAGTCAGTGACATTTTTAAAGCTTCTCTGGGCACCTCTATTAAGTTTGACATTTTTGTTTGCTTATATGTGCTTTAATCTGTGTTACATCAGCACAGAAGACGACTCTAATAAATTGTATTAGATTTTAAAGTGAAGAATTAATAAAGTAATAAATGTTTATCCTTTTCCTTTAACACATTTTAGCCTGCATATGCTGATAAAATTATGTCTAAAGTTTGCCGATTTACAAACTGACTCAGTAGCCAGCAGGAAGGTGTTTAATTCTAAACAATCTGTTGAAAAACTCTATTAAAATTTATCTGGACACAAAAGGAAATGGAAAATGACAGCTAAAAATGCCTTAATTTTATTAGTGTGCTACTTATACCAGTGGTGACCCGTCCAATGTAAAGTTGGACTTCTAATTGCTGGAAATAAGAGCTCTCTTGGAAAAGAACTTCTGACATGGGTTAACTGAGTAACTAGAAACTCATTGCATTACTCTAAACGGACGAGTAGTTCCACCATCACCTTTAACTCTAGGTTTGTCTGTCTAACGTACCTGATATTTTAAATCTTCAGTACTGATAGAATTCCTGTTTTTAGTATCATTCAGGAGTTGTCTCTCTGTTTTTAACTCTGCACCTTTTTTATTTGTTTATTGTAAATGAGCTGAAGATTTATACAGAATAGATCATTTTGTTTTGTGCCTACTTTTGAGGTCTGCTTTTTGAGATTATCCTGAACTCTAGATCTCCTTTTACTTAGTTTCTGAAAAAGAATTATGCTTTCAAATGTAATATTTTGAAATCTGTAACACTTTTTCAGAGTTCTTCTTTTGTTTATGGAGTCTAGGAAATTGAGATGATCTTTTGCATCTGTTGCTTTAATTTTAGTCATGATGTCCCCAAATACAACATGGATCTGCTATGTTTTCCAAGATGCTATCACTTTCTTATGGAAACTTGGTAACAATGTTAGAAGTTTCAGCTTGATTCTCCAAGGACTCTGCTTTCTCCTTAAGCTGAAGTGCTTTTAACTTTTACTTTGCATTTGGCAAATGTTTCAGCTTCATACAGTAAAATAAGAAAATTTTTATTTCTGTACTGCTTTCACTGTGAGACTCTGAAGGCAATAGAAGTTCATTGTACTTTTATAAATATATCATCACAAAGCAATGAAAGGACTAAGTATGATTTTTCCTATGTCATGCTGGAGAAACTGAGGCACACAGTGATTAAGCTGTGATCACAAAATGGCAGAGAAAGGCCCTAATTCAGGTCAGTTCATAAATACTTATATCCATTTCTTACAGTAGCAACTCATTAACCATTTATTTATTTATTTTTACTGAGTAAGTGCAAATATAATCAAGTTCTTAATAATTGCTCTACTGAATAGAGTCCCTTTTCTTTGGCAGATCCACGTATTCCTTGAAGTCCTTTTGTTTTTTTAAACATTAACTAGATCAGATTATCTCTTGCAATTTTCTTTTTGTCTGACCATTGAAGTTAGAAGGAATCTCAGTCTACGTTGTGTTGGAGGTTTTACTTGTTGGGCACAACTACAATATGAGAGCCTAATTTAGTCATTAGCTAGCTGCAGTTTCTAATTTCTCATTACTTCACTCCAGACACTATCCTGTCAGTCTTTTATGCTAACAGGCACAAAATCACTAGTAGGTGGTGCTGGAAGATGAAGCTGATGTGCACAGTGAAGGAGTAAAGCATATCTTTGAAAAATCTTATTACTGTTTCAATCTGATTTGGTCGTCTTTGGCCTTCATTACTTTTTATATGTATGCTGTGTTAGCTGAAAATGCAGTTCCAGTTTAAAAAAAAAAAAAAAGTCAATTCAGTCATTTGTATCCTATCTACCAAATTATAGTCAAGGCTCTCCCTCCAGATATGTTTACAGTATGAGATGTTCCTCTGCCCTTAAAATATATCTCCCTTTGGTTTTCATCGTGATTTTTTAAATCTGAGCAGAATATGTTACGAAAAATTCAAACACAATGAAAAAAATCTAGGTGTGTATATGTTTGCAAACTACTACTCTTTCAAGTTTCAAGTCTATCTTCAGCATAGAAAAGGGCAGACAAAGATAGATGCTGTTAATCCTTCAGGAGCTGTGTGAAATATATCACTTCAAATCTCAAAAAAATATTCAAATAAAACAATTATATATTTCAGGAATTGGGATCAACTATTTTCCATGGATATCACTAGTTTTATTATCTTACAACTTTTTTTGTGTTACTTTTTCTGAATACTGACCAGTCACGCAATTAGTGATAATATATGTGTCACCTACCTCTGGAGTTCTGAATTCCATCCATCTCAGTATATATAATGAGCATAAATAAGAATTTGTAGTTACTAGTTTTAACGTACAGTTGTAAAACACTCTGTAGCTCAAGTAGTGTACTGTCATGGGTTGTTAGTGTAATTAAACAGTCATTAATGGATTTTGAGAGCTCTTGTTTTCTATTTTTGAATGAAAAAAACTATGAAAGTTGCCATTTGACAGTATGTCTCGAGTTTTAAAAATGACAACATTAATATTAATAGCAGTGCATGAATGAGTTGAACTTATGTGTATTTTAACGCTGTACACAGTAAGCTATAATACAGATAACATTATTATTGTGAAGGTTTACCATTTGAGAAGGTGACTTTACAACTGTTTTCTGTACGTTCTCCATCTTTCTCCTCATCAACATCTGAAGAAAGAGCTTAGTTGCAATCAATAATTTCTTTTAATATAAATGACTGTGAAGGGTTTAAATTAAAAAAAAAAAAAAAAGTCAGATGATGGGAAAGGGTGTCACTTCCATGCTCAGATCTTTGAATTTGTGTTGGTAGTAAATAAATGAAATCTAAACTTATATGGAAACTTCAGAATTGGCAAAAGCATAGTACTTTTTAAATTTAAATCTAGAGTAGATCTTATTTACACTTGAATATTTAACAGTCTTTTGGGTGAGGCCTGCGGGTCTGAAATTGCACTTCTATGAATTTAAACATCCCATCTTTGACACCTTCTATCCTGTTCCCTTTTCTTTGCTATTTTTTAACTTACTGCAACAGATGAGGGTTTCTTAAACCATCTGTTAACCTTTTTTCCCCCCCTTTTTTTTTTTCAACATATAGAGTCGCTCAAGGCAAGAAGACCCAGAGCAAGCTAGACTGAAACAAAAAGCAAAGGAGGTAAGCAGAGTTAGAGATCATTACACTTGACATTTCAAGGCTTGAACATATTAATTTTTTATGCCTTGCTACTTGTATATCGTTAATAAAAATCTGACTAAAAACTTTTTAGGATGTATTTGTTGCTTTGCCTTTGATCTTAATGTTTGCAAACTAATACATTAATACATGTGAAGCCTAAGGAGATTTTATAAGAGAATATTTCCATACATTACATTTTCATTTACATTTTAGGTAGCTGTAGCTTTTGTTGGGTTGTTGATGAGAACAGCATTAGATTTTAGTGGAAAATACATGCCTTTGTCTTTTTATAAAATACCACTGTCTTAGAAATGTGTTACTTTACTTAACAGTTTTGATTGGTATTGAATGGTATTGCTAGTGTTTTTCTCTACAGTGTGGTTCATCGTGCTGTTTACTCAATCTAAACTACAATAATCTAAAAATTATCAGATAACTTCAACTGAAGTTTTGCTATGTTAGTCTAAGGGTAGCATTTTGTGAACAACTGAGTACCTTAATTTGCTGTAAATGAGGGTGGCTGTCCTTTGCTTAAGACATCTTGTGGCTTAAGATCAGGTGGTAGCTTACTTAAGTTTGAAAGACCTAAAAGCTCTATCACTGGAAAGCCATTCGTATTTTAAGAAATCAGTAGCATCATCTTTGGATAATAGAAATAATGCATTAGAAAGTAATATATATGGAAAAATGCATATAACAAGTACTTTTCTATTGACCTGTTTTTCTGGTTTTGTTTCACTGTTGGCAGTATTTTATTGTTCCATTAGCTGTACAGATTTTATATATAGAACTGACACAAACATTGAAGTACATAGATGAGTTTTATTTGTCTTTTCTGATTATGTGATTAGGCAGTAAGCTTTGTCAAAATGAGTTCTTGAAAACTTTAAGCCATAAGTGCTTCCAGAGCTGGGGTTGTGAAGTATTAAAGAGAAACAGAGTGATGAAGTTACTTGACTGGAAAAGACACAGGATTTTAATACTACTAAAATTTACTGTCTGGACAGAATATGCAAAGAAAGAATTAGACCTGAAAATATGTGAAAATGATTGATGGCAGGGAAATGTAGCAAAACTTGCTCTTGAGCTGAGAACTAAAACTGCCATGCTGTTGGAAATGAAAGCAAGCTAGAAATAAATGCATTTCTTATTGCCACAGTATTTCTGTTAATTGTAATTCTTTTTGTTCTTTGCAAACTTGAGGAAGAAAAAGTAAACAACAGGGCTAGTGAAAACACATATTTCTGTAATCAGGATGAAATAGTGGTTCTCTTTTTAGCTGTGATAGAAGACTTGCTCTCTAGCCAGGGTTGTTGCTTTTGCAGTGAGTAACTGCAGGAGTACCTCTGCTTCCTTTTATGAAAATTCAGGCTGTCTGTATAAGTTTCATTTCTTATCCGCTAGAGGGAGTGACGCTGTGCTGACTTGTGAATGAAAGAAAGTGTATGAGATGTATTTTAAGTAGTAGTAATAGTGATATTAATAAAGAGTAGCAAATATTTTTGGTGGTAAACTAATTAAAAATGCTTAGATCAAACTTTTATGGGATTTTAAAGTAGTGGTTTTCCTGGATATGGTAACTTGTTTGAGTAAATGCAGAATGAATACTAGGTTGTCTGTTTGAATGCTGCACCCTATCCTCTCGTACATTAGCCGTGCCTTTTTTCCCACCCTTTTAATGAAAGTGTATAATTTTCTGGCTCCCTGCCTGTCTCTGAAGTTGAATTTCATTCTACATATTTGAAACCATAAGAAATATATGTCTGTCTCTGTTTTTAGTAATTAGGGTTCTGAAGCTTTCTTCAGCTAATTTAGAGACTTTCACCTAAAATATTTAAATATATTTCATAAAAACACATACTGTCACATTAACTGTTAAAAAAGGGGAAGAGGAAGTGGGACTGGTACGATTTTAGTTTAATATTTTATATATATATATATTTTTTTTTTTTTGCGTTTGATCCTGAATATATACTGATTTGCTCACTGCTGAAAAAAAAAATTTTTTTTTGTAATACAAACACTCCGTTAGCCAGATGGTATTTGAGGTGGTTTTGCTATCTGAAAACAAGAGTTTTGATATAACTTGTACAAAAAAGTTCAAATTTCAAAACCTTACTGCCAGCTGGGCTACTTTTAAATGTGTTTATGATCCATAATTGAAAGGCAAGTTGCATTTGTTCTAGAATTTATATAAGTTGATGAATATAATTCTGTTAGCTTTGATAATTAAATGAATTTGAAGCTGCATTTCATGATTTCCGCAATGTCTTGCATACTGCCTGAAGACCCTTGTTGCTCATGTATTCTTCTGGCCAGCAGTAAAGTGGCTACTAGCTAACGCTTTAAAAAGCATGAAGAGGACATCCAAGACATTTGCGGTGTTTTGTAGCTTGTGTTACTTATTGACGTGATTGTCGGACAGTTTGTTTTTTCTAATCAGCAAAGCGGTTGATAATTTCTTTATTATTTTCTGGAAATGGATAGTGTTTCAGACTCTGCAGTGTGCTTGCATTTGAGCAGTGACACTCCTGCATTCCTTCGTCTAGCCAAGCAGTCTGCAGCGGGCTCCTTATTCAGAGCTGAGAGTGATCAACACTGCCCCATGGGTCCCTGCTAAGCAGAAATGGGTGAATATCTAAAACAAAAGTAATCAAAATGTGAAGTCTAGGAAAGAGAGTATAGACCATAATGGGGAGAAAACGGGACCAAAGTGAGCTCAAGAAACATGAAATACATACAGAAGACAAAAGTCTGAGGGAGGATGTGAAATACAAAAATAAATCATTTCAAATTCTTTTAAGGAAAAAAGTATTCAAAGCATTGAAAAAACTCCAGAAAACACAGTATTGGAGAGCCAAATAAAGATACTAGTGCAAGGATAACAGTACAGTGGGGGAAGGGGTAGCAGACTAGCAAAGTCTATGCATTCTCTTTTATGGACACTTTGGAATCTTTCATTACATAATATTCTGGTTTTTGTCCTAATTTAAAACAAAATTTTTCGTTCTTTTTCTTTCACAGAACTACTAGCCTTAGAAAGTCACCTCCTTTACTATTGCTGTCATCAAGAAAATATGCAGGGAGATCAGTATATCCTTTGAACAGATTTAAAAATGAATTTGTTAGGGTGAAGGTTATTTTATTTTTTCAGTAGCTCTGTCTTACTCCATTTATTAGCCAGTCTTCAGGCCTGTCCACATATTATTTAAACCAAATTGGCATAAATCAAGTTTAAATTGCCATTAAATGCTTACCAAAACAAACAGAAGGGCCATCTACCTATGGTCTTACAGGGGAGACTAAACGTAACAGTAAGGTTTCATTCACACACAGACCTGCTCTGTTTTAGTTAAGTCAGTGCAAGCCCACTCTTATTTCTGTTTGATTGACTTATTTTGCTTCAGCATAAGGCTATTTCAAATGGTCTTGACTGAGGGCAATAGGAGAGTGCCTTGGGAGGCTTTGTATTGCTTAAAACTCTCCATTTGCTTTCATACTTTTAGTTAAACTTTCCAGCAGCTTTCCATGTAGGGCTATAGATGGTGATGTCTTTTGTCAGGGTGTATTACATGATTGCTTTAATGGTAGACCGATTTAATAAACAAGTGAAGAATATTTTCAGTGGAGACTATTTCAGGAAAAATGCTACTCTTCAGCTGTTACTTGTACATTGTTTTGTAACAAATTCTGTAACACTTACTTATCAATGCAACTTAGTATAAGAAATAGCGTCATTTGTCAGCAGCTTGTACTTCATATTGAGTGGTTAAACCTTTGGAAATCAAGTTTTAGAAAATATTCTGTGATTTAGGTAGTCCGTTGGAAAAATAGGAAGTTACAAATATATGTTAAAGAAATGATGTGTCCTCCAACTGCTATAAAAAGGGTTCATTAAATAGGACATAAAACAGGCCGTATAACTGATAACAGGAGTAGCTCAAGATTGGGAATAATTGAGTCAATGTCTAGTAATTAATAATAGTATAAATGATTTAAAAGAAAGATAGAGGAGGTAAGCTCCTAGACATACTTAGGAAAATCCATGATAGAAATATCATGGATATTTTTCTACATACTCGGTGTCTGTTGGCTAAAAATCTTTTAATTTAAGAGTGAAGTAGCTGAGTTTGTTGATCCTAAAAGATTAACTTAGTTAAAATCTGTGTGTCATCACCAACCAGGAATATTGCATAATAATAAAAACTTAAACCAGACACCATAAATGTCTGGGCATGTATCCAGGACCCAGATCAGGTTAGATAACGCTCAGTGGAATCTATTCTCCCATGTCCTCTTTAACCGTGCAAGTGAAATCTCAAACCTGTTGATATTCATAATAGTGGTCTCATTGATTTTGAGGGAAGACAGCAGACAATTCCATTTACATGTCTTTATCTGTGCAGATAGTCCATCTTTTAAAGGTCTGATGCAGTTCTTTAATAGTGATACGTATTTAAGCTGGATGCTGTGGTGGCTGTTATACTGGCTGGTGGTTTTGGGAGTATCCTTCTTCAGCAACTCTCACGCAAACAGACAGTGGGCAGCTCCTTTATGTACTCCCTGGCGTAGCTGCATCCACTGTAGCATAGCAATACCCGCTCCACTTGGGTGCTGTCATCACATGTGTCTTAATGAACTTTGTTCAGCTAATTTCTAGATTTTGGAGCATACCCTTTTGGAGGATGTGCACAAAAACATCTGGGCAGTTAACAGAGATATATAAAAAGCGATAGCATTCTTCTCTTCCTCCTTAAAATAATAATAATAAAAAAAACCCTGCACATCATAGGATGTGTATTTTAGGTGGCTTTAACAATGCCTTAAAATTTGAAATCCTGCATTAAAAAAATAATATTTCTTAGCAGAAATACTGAAACTCCAGTTCAGCATCATATATTTAACAATTAGATTATAAAAATTTTACACTAAGTAATTTCTTGGCACCACATTTGTAAGTATTTGTCTACTCAGTAGGA